GTATTATCATAAAAACCCCCAAGGTTACTGAAAGAAGTTTCCCTTTTTTCAACTTCCCAATGCTCAAGACAGTATGCAAAATAGAAAATCGGCAAAAAACTTGGAGGTCAAGCAAATTTAATATTTGGTTTTGGTCAATTTTTTTTGTGTATCATGAGAATACTACTTTTCCTTGTATGTTTCATTTTAAAACTGGCCTATTTGTGGTTGCCGAGGTCGAATTCAGTCCTGTGTTGCCTGTTTGTTGGGGGTTTTGTGTGTTGTTGTGTGTGTGTTTGTGTGTTGTGTTGTTGTTTGGTTTTTGTGTTTTGGGGGGGTTTTGGTGTGGTGTGTGTGGTGTGGTTTTTGTATGGGTGGGTTGTGTTGTTTTTGTGTGTGTTTGGTGTGTTTTGTGTGTGTTGTGTGTGTGTTTTTGTGTGTTTGTGGGGGTTGTGTTGTGTGTGTGGGTGTGTGGGGTTGTGTGTTGTGTTGTGTGTTTGTTTTTGGGGTTTTTTTGTGTTGTGTGTGTCCTCAAAATTTGTACTCCCCCTATTTGTGGTTGGGGGGGGGGGGGGGGGGGCAAATTTCTCAGCTCCTGTCGTTCCCCTGGTGGGGTGGGTATATGTGTGGTGTGGGGGTGTTGGGGTGTTGTGTGTGTTGGGGGTTTTTGTGTTGTTGTGTGTGTTGTGTGTGTTGTTTTGTTTTTTGTGTGGGGTTGGGGTGTGTTTGTGTGTGTGTGTGGGTGTGTGTGTGTGTGTGGGGTGGGTGTTTTGGGGGGTTTTTTGTTGGGTGGTGGGTGGTGTGTGTGTGTGTGGGTGTGTTTTGGTGGTGTGTGGGGTGTGTTGGGGTGTGTGTTTGGTGTGTGTGTTTTGGGTTGTGTGTGTGTGTGTTGTGTGTTTTTGTGTGTGAGGTGGGTGTGTTGTGTGTGTGGGGTTTTGGGTGTGTGTGTGTGTGGGGTGTGTGTTGTGTGTGTTTTGGTGGGGTGTGTGTGTGTGTGTTTTGTGTTTTGTGTGGTGTTGTGTGTGTGTGTGTGGTGGTGTTGTGTTATGGGTGTATCCCCTATTTGTACCCCACCTATTTGTGGTTCCCGGGGGCGGGGCCAAAAGCTCCTGGCCCCCCCCTCTTCGTTGATTCTATTGGGCCTCTCTCCCCTGCCCCATGGAAACTCTTTTATACCTCGCCTTAAAAAATATGTATGGTTTTCCCCCCTCCACTACGTCACCCTTTTTGGCTAAACCCCCGGGCCCCGACAAATCTAAAATGAAAAAAAACTTCCTAACACCCCTTTATTCATCTGAGTCTTCAACTTCCAATTGGGACCCCTTGGGTCCCGTGTCCCTTCTTGGAACATCCCCACTTTGGGCCACCTTTTCTATCCGCCCTATTTTTTTTTATGTCGTTATATTCTCCCCTCCCCGACCCTCCTGTCCCCCAGTGTCCTTTAGGGCCCATTTCCCCAACCTTTCTTCGTAGGGGCAATCCCCCTAGCTCTGGGACTAGTCTTTTGCAAACCTTTGTTTTTCTCCAAAAATTTTTTGAAGTCTTGCTAGGGGGGTGGATTCCAAAAGGGGGGCGTTTCTCCAGTAGGGCCCGACGTAAAAGGTTAAGAAATCTTAAAGAATTTCCTTTCTGAGGTATCGGAACGCTATCCGAGGTTTCCAAGGGGGCCGTAGGGTGGGGAGCAGTTATCTGATTGATGTGCGCCCCCCAGGAAAATTTGGGTTTGGTGTTATACCCACCCCCCAAAATTTTTTCCCTTTAGTGAGGGTTTTCAGTCTTTGGGGCCCCTAAAATATATTTTGTCTGCGGTCTTCTTTGGGCCCTTTCCCCCAAACTTTAAGACTTTGCCTTTTGGGGGGTTAAATTCAAGGGGCCAGGGTTTTGGACCAGGCTTGTACCTGTTCCCGGTCTCTTTGTTTCCTGCCTGATCCCCATCCCATTTGAGTTCCCTTTTCATTAAAATTCACCCTCTCTGCAAAACAAGGAAACTTTTTGAGTCTATTTTCCCTTTCCCTTATGTCCTTTTAAATTCCAAAGAACAGCACAGGTCCAAAAAATTTACCCCTGGGGGGAAACCCCCCTTGTCACGGCCCCCCACTCTGACACCTCGTCAAATACCCTGACTCTTTTTGCCCCCCCCTGTCAGGTATTCTTGATCCATTGGGAGTTTCCTTTCCTGGGTTTTTTGTGCCTGAAACCTCTACTTTTGCAGTAACCCCCTTTTGAGGAACTGTGGGCGAAGGCCTTTTTTGCAGCCCCAAAAAAATGCAGTGACCCCCCTCTCTCCCCTTGTCTTTTCTTCTGCACCTTGGGCAAAAAAACTCTGTAGGTTTTTTGACAGGGAAATTTTTTTTCCCGAAACCGGTGGTTGTCAATTATACCTTTTTTCTTTCCAAAGGGGCTCCACCCCTCTCCTTTCCCGAGGGTCTTCTCCATGGAAACCCTTTCATACTAAAACACTTTGTGATAAAATTCTGTTAGTTTAAATTTCCTTTGTCCCGTTTCCCCTTTTTTAAAAAATTGGGGCCCACATTTTCCATTTCCATTTCCTCAGGGAGGTTTTCCCAGTTTCAAAAGAATTTTTTTGAAGATCTTTGTTAATTTGGGTAAAAACAATATATCTGCTCCCTCTTTTGGACCCCATGGGAGATGTCTGGGGGCCCCCCGCCTTTGAGGTGTCAAGAATAAGAAAAAGAAAAGATAAGATTTCGTTCGGATTTTTTTAACCCCGGAGGGTTTGCCCCCAGGAAACCCAAGAAAGGGCAGTGCGGGATCGAGGACTGTCTAACTTATTTCCATTGGGGTCCTTAATCTTGTCCCCCAGGATGCGACCCACACCAGTCGACTAACACCCAGGTACCTATTTGCTGCTAGGTGAACAGGACAATAGGTGTAAGGAAACGTGTCGAAATGTTTCCACCCGCCGGGAATCGAACCCGGGCCCTCCGTGTGTGAAGCGGGAGCTTTAGCCACCAGGCCACCGGGTCACCCAAGTTCGCATAGCAGCTTCTTCACCTCCTCCTTGGTTATACGTACCTCATCCAGCACTTGCTGATGTGCCCCCCTGTTCTGATTTCCTGGAGTCCTACTGGTTTCCACTGTAAATACCTCTTTAAATCTTGTGTTGAGCTCCTGACATACCTCTCGGTCGTTTCTTGTGGATTCCCCATCACCCTTCCTCAGTCTGATTACCTGGTCCTTGACTGTTGTTTTCCTCCTAATGTGGCTGTACAACAGCTTCGGGTCAGTCTTTACTTTTGATGCTATGTCATTTTTCATATTGTCTCTGAGCCCCCCTTCTTATCTGTGCATATTCGTTTCTGGCTCTTCGGCTAATCTCTTTATTTTCCTGACTTCTCTGTCTTCTGTACCTTTTCCATTCTCTAATACACCTAGTTTTTGCCTCCCTACACCTTTGGGTGAACCAAGGACTCGTTCTGTTCTTCCCATTATTTCTGTTTCCCTTGGGAACAAACCTCTCCTCTGCCTCCTTGCATTTTGTTGCCACATAGTCCATCATTTCTTTTACTGGTTTTCCTGTCAGTTCCCTCTCCCACTGAATGTCTTGAAGGAAGTTTCTCATGCCTGAGTAGTTCCCCCTTTTGTAGTTTGGTTTTTCCAGCCTATTCCTGCTACTCTCTCCACTTGGAGCTCAACTATGTAGTCGAAGCACAGAACCACATGAATCACTAGCTCCCAGGGGCATTCGTACATGATACCCTCGATGTCCGAACTACTCAAGGCGAATACAAGGTCCAGTCTTGCTGGTTCATCCTCTCCTCTCTCTCTGGTAGTGTCTCTAACATGTTGATGCATGAGGTTTTCCAGTACCACCATCCCTCTTGGCTTCCATGTTTCGGGACCCCATGGGGCTCCAGGTTTTCCCAGTCAATCTCCTTGTGATTGAAATCACCCATAACTAGTAACTTTGCTCCCCCATGTGTGCTCTCCTGGCCACCTCGGCTAGTGTGTCCGACCATTGCTCTGTTGCTCTCATCATATTCTTCTCTTGGCCTCTGCAGTTGTGTGTGTGTGTGTGTGTGTGGGGTGTGTGTGTGTGTGTGTGTGTGTGTGTGTGTGTGTGTGTGTGTGTGTGTGTGTGTATGTGTGTGTATGTGTGTATGTGTGTGTACTCACCGAATTGTAGGGGTTGATTCATAGCTCCTGGCCCCGCCTCTTCACTGGTCGCTACTAGGTCACTCTCCTACTCTATGAGCTTTATCATACCTCTTCTTAAATCTATGTATGTACTCACCTAGTTGTGGTTGCAGGGGTTGAATCACAGCTCCTGGCCCCACCTCTTCGATGGTTGCTACTAGGTCACTCTCTCCCTGCTCCACGAGCTTTATCGTGTCTGTTTTTAAAGCTGTGAGTGGATCCTGCCTCCACTACATCACTCTCCACTCTGGAGGTTTGATTAGAATCCTGACCCAGAGCTACCTGGACCATATCCTAGCACATAACTTCAACATTCTTGGTTTCTTCGTACGTGTTAAAAAATCACAAAATATTTCAAAATTTCTTTGAAAGCTGTAGCGGAAGATTTAAATTAACGACCACTAAATAGGACACCATTAAGCTTCAATGGCGTTATTAAATGTGTACGTAAATTTATTATAATTTAACTCTAGATTATTTATTCGACCATCCCTGTATTTTTACCGCTATTTTTTGTAGCTTTTTTGCAAGCCTGTATTTCTCTTCCTCTCTGTTTTCACTTGTGTCTGCAAAGATCGAAAATACAGTAAATGATCTCCCCAGGTATGTTGTGCATCAAGAACAGCGGGGGACCAAAAACTACTGCTCCTTTTTTCCTGTCAATCATTTCGTCTCTCATTATACCCACCTTCTCATTCTCGGCTTCTCTATCACGTGGCGTTCCCTCTCGCAGTTACATCATGCCTTCTAATATCCATCTGTAGGAGGATGGTCAACCAATATTCCCGTTTCAGACTTTCTAATTTTATCATTTTATTGTGCAGCTATTTAACATGCATGTCTTGCATGAATCACCTCCGGTA